GTGTGAAGTGTATGTGTATGTGGGTGGGGTATGAGGCTGTGGAAGTCTTATCTTGGAGATGTGTGTGGTGGGTGGGTGAGGGAGTGATGTTTCCATTCTTCTTAAGTGGGATAGCCAGATTTAGCAAATATAAATACATGGTGCTCAATTACATATGAATTTCAGAAAAATAGGGAATCTTTTTGTATAAGTATATCCCACAGGATATACTTTGAGATTGAATTCAGTTGTGCATTCTGTCTTTTACCTGACAACTCTCTTTTTATGGGTTCTTTGCAGTGGGACCAGAACAAGTCAATCACTTCTGAAAAGCTCATAGAACAAAGTTAACCATGCTGCAATGAAGTCTTTGAAAATCAAACCCATAAACTACAGTCCACGGGCCACTTATAAACATAAAGTTTTATTGTTATCAGGGCTGGGATGAGTTAGTAGCAAATGACTTTGCCCTGACCCAAAATGCTGGTATTTTGTGCATTAGTTTTAACACTCATTTTTATTTTTAAATGATTACATTAAAGTCTTCTTTCTCTTGACTCTGCAGACTTTTGGTGCCCTCTCAGATTTTATACCATTCCGGCCTCTGGTTTGCAGGATGAGTACGGAAAGGCAAGTGCATAATGAAGCAAGGAGTGATTTTTTTTTTAGTGTCTAGGTTATCCAGACTTCAATCACTAAAATATATATCCTTCTACTTTTCTCCTTTCTGAAAGTGTTCATGTCTTGGCTCACTAACCAGTCTGCAACTAGAGAACTGGGACCAGTTAGGTGCTGGTGACTCATGCTTGTAATACTAACTACACAGGAGGCTGAGATCTGGATTGTAATTTGAAGCCAGATGGGACAGGAGAGTCCATGAGACTCTGATTTCCAATATTCACCAAAATACCAGAAGTAAAGGTATGGCTCAAGTGGTAAGGCTCCAGCCTTGAGTAAAAAAGCCAAGGAAGAATGAAAGGCCCTGAGTTCAAGACCCAGTAACAGCACATACACAGGAAGAAAGAAAGAAGAAAGAGAAATAAAGAAAGAAGAAAGAAAAAGAAAGGAAGGAAGAGAGAAAGAGAAAAGAACCTGGGATATTTCATTTTCCTAGCAAATACCTAAACCAGGGTTGGTTTGGGGTATGTGTCTAGACACACTTGAATGAGACAGGATTACGAGGTCTCTTAGAAACATTGGATGCTGGCACTAATGGGGGGAACATTTTCTGTAAGGCAGTTGCAAATACATTCTCCACACTTTGTCCTACAGATGGGGTAGTCCATCCACACTGCTCGCTCTTTGCCCTGCTAATGATTAAAATTTTATTTAAGTTAATTTGCATGTTGTCCATTCTTTCACATTTGGTTTCTCATTGGAGCTTAACATGTGTGACATGGGGAGAAAGGGCTATGGCATTCAGCTGGCTGTACTGTGGTTTCTTAAGTACCACAGTAAGTAGAGGGGGAGGGGCCTGAAGCAAAGGTCAGAGGTCAAAGAGGAAAAGCAAGTGTCTCATTTTCTAGATTATTCCCCTGGTTTGTTGCCTTGAGGAATCAACCTTGTGTTCTCTATCCGGGGTGACAAGCCCCCTCTGGAATAATAGAGACCAGTGGCCAGGTATGATATATGAAGATATTCTGATGGAATATACTCAAATTTGAATGCAGGAACACACACACACACACACACACACACACACACACACACACATACACATATATATATATAGAGAGAGAGAGAGACAGAGACAGAGACAGAGACAGAGACACAGAGACAGACAGAGAGAGATATAGATGGACACCTCTACCAGGTGTCTGTCTGTAGATGAATGAATAAACCAAATTTCCCACAGGATGAAAGAGTATTTCACAGTATAAAAAGATCAAGGAGAGGTTGAACCTGAAGGATATTATGCTAAATGAAACAAGCCTTGTGTGTGTGTGTGTGTGTGTGTGTGTGTGTGTGTGCGCGCGCGCACGTGCATGCGTTTGTTGGTACTGGAGTTTAAACTCAGGGTCTTGTGCTCTTGCTCAGCTTTTTTGCTTGCAGCTGGAGATCTATCCCTAGAGTGACATCTCCAGTCTAGCACTTTGCTGGTTAATTGGAAATAGAGTGTCACAGACTTTTCTGCCTGGGCTTGCTTTGAACTATGATCTCCCAGAGCTTAGCTTCCTTGGCAGCTGGGTTACAAGCAAGAATCACTTTTGACCTGGTTTTCCTTGTCATTTTGACTTGCTTTTTTTTTTTTTTAGTTGTGGGGTTTGAACTCTGGGCCTGGGCCTAAGCTCTTCAGCATTCTACCACTTGAGCCACAGCACCACTTCTGGTTTTCTGGTGGTTAACTGGAGATGAGTATCACGGACTTTCCTTGCCTGGGGTTGCCTTGAACTGCAATCCTCAGATCTCAGCCTCCTGAGTAGCTAGGGTTACAGGCATTAGCCACGCGTGCCTGGCTGCCTTTCTTTCTTTCTTTCTTTTTTTTTTTTATGAGTGCTGATGTTAACCATCTTTTTGTGAGCTTAATTATTGGTCACTTTTGTCTGTTTTAGAAAAATTTCTGCTAAAATCTTAGACTTTGAAAATACTTTTTTCATGTTCTGTGAAAGACCGTCTTTGCTCTCTCAATAAATATGTACAAACGTTTTAAGTTTTGATAAAGTCCAATTTATCAATTCTCCCCTCATCTCCCTTTTATTGTCTGTGTTTTTGGTGTCAAAGCCACTTGAGTGATTATTTCATGTGGCTGACCTTGACCCTGCATGAGTCAGGTGACATCTTCCATATGAACAATACTATGCTAAAACCCCGATGAGCTGAGCCTTTTCCCTAGTAGCATTCTGAACTTAGAAATTCTTCCATAAGAACATTCTCAGCTCACTCACAGCTCTCCAGTGCTGGGGTGATTGTGAGTTTAATAAGGGACAGGCACCCCTGCTGGGTCTTACAAGCCTGAGACACAAGTCTATTTAAATTTGTGTGACTACCAAGGGGACAGAACTGGGGGCAGAGTGGGTGGCCACATGGCATCTATCACCCCACTAGCTCTATGGCCAATGGCTGAACTTGAACACCTGTCACTTGAACTTGGCACCTGTCACTAACCTTGGGGTCATTATAAGAGACTCGAGTGTAGAAATCTCCCTAGCCGATGGATCCATACACAGCTTGGGCACCTCAGGAGCACTGTAGCTGTGTCTGTGGTAGGAGTGACTGTGCCTGGGAGCAGCAATGGCACCCGGCACCAAGGGACTTACTGGTGATAGTGTAGGAGTCACCTCCTGGAGATACCCATAGGGGCATTGCATAAGGTCCTGTGTGAGCAGGTCTCACCATGGGACAGTGCAGTTTGGAATTGTTCTTAGTTGGAAATTCATTTGTTTCTGCCTTTCAATTGACATGTGAACAAGGAAGCAGGGCTGTGAAAATTTGAAGTAACTTCCCTATGTCACTCACATGGATATCTATTTGATGTTTTACAATTCTGCATCTACATGCTTATAGCACCCTAGTTTTCCTCTTGGTAGCCATTCATTTTCTTCTTGCCATGATTTTTTTTTGTCGGTTGTGGGGCCTGAACTCTGGGCCTGGGCGCTGTCCCTCAGCTCTTCAGCTCAAGGCTAGCACTTTACCACTCTAACCATAGCACCACTTCTGGCTTTTTCTGTTTATGTGTTACTGAGGAATCGAACCCAAGACCTCATGCATACAAGGCAAGCACTCTACCACTGAGCCACCTTCCCAGCCCTTTGCCATGATTTTTGAGCTCTCCTGACTCAATCTTCAGCTCTAGAGATAGGCATAGCAGTCTTCTTGTTCAATCAAGGCCTTCCATCTTCCAGGCATCAGACACTGGGTTGGGGATGGGCATAAAATCTAACAGAGGTCAAGATGTAATCTTGGGGCTTGGTCTGGGACTCCAAACAAAAAAGGATTTTGTTTGTTAGTTTGTTTTTCATTTCTGCTGAATTTGGAGCCAGGAAGAAATCAGCCTGGGTCTCCTGGTGAAATTCTTGCCAGCCTGGGGAGAACTTGCTTATGAATGAGGAGAATACTAAAAAGCAAAACAAAAGATAAAAAGTGAACCTTGAGGAATCATAGGAGCTCCTGGATGGAGTCAGACCTGAAGCAGACACTATGGCTAGCATTATACAATTGCAATATATTGCTTTCTAAAATTGGGCACTCAAGACTCACACATGTAATTCTAGCTACTCAGGAGTCTGCGACCTGAGGACCATTGTTTGATGCCAACTCCAGGGAGAAAAGTCCCTGGGAGATTCTTATCCCTCATTAACCAGTGAAAATCTAGGAAGTGCTTCTGCTTTATTGTTTTTTTTCTTTTTTGTAAGGATCACTTCTAGTGAGTCTTAAAAAATAAAAAATGCTGGTGGTATAGTTCAAGTGGTAGAGCGCTTGCCTAGCAAGTATAAGGTCCTGGGTTCAAACCTCAGTACTGCAATAAATAAATAAATACATTCTATTTTTTTAAAGCTGCAAGTAGAGGTGTGGCTTGAGCATTATAATATCAATCTTGGCTGGACAAAAAATAAGCAAGAGTGCAAGATTCTGAATTCAAGACCCAGTATCTCACCTCCCCTTCCCCCCCCCCACATACATGCCCAAAAAAGAAAGGAAAAAGAAAAAGGAAATGAATGACCAACCAGTTGTATGCCTAGCTCCTGTTGCATTTATTGGAACCTGCTTACTCAGCAACCCACCAAGTAGCTTACAGGGAGAGGGACAACACTTAAGACTCCTACTATGTAATCCTGGGATTATCACAGGGCCGTGAGGAGGGAGGGGTAGGCAGATGATGATGGGGGAAGGGTCATTAAAGACAGAGAAGAGAGACCAGTGAACTGGTCAAGACCTTTGGCTTGGCAGGGAGCTGCTCCGGGCTTTGGAGCCTCTCCCTTGGTCCTGGGTGTTTGTGGACATACAGGTGAATGTGTGAGTATGTGTATGTGCTTGCAGGTATTTGAGTTGAGGGGTGGGTAGAGAGGTCCGAGCAGTTGGCATCAGGGTTTCTTTTCCTTTATTCTTTCCTTCACTTTCTGAGGCTCAAATTGGATGAGTCGCAGGATTTCCTTATTGGCGAGGGTCCCCTCAATGAATTCTTCTTCTGTAAGTTTATCTGTGTGTAGGGGAAAACCATCAGTCGAGAATGACATTGAGGCACAATGCCAAATGTAACTGTATCTACTGTAAAACTATTGAATACCCAGATTCTTTATGGCTTCTTCCCCCAATACCTCCATTACTCAGCCCTAAGACCCTCAGACAATCCCCCCTTACCTCCTAAGCCAAGAACAAGAAGGCAAATGACTAGAACTTTGGAAATCTCTAGGATACCTCTGCTGTGGATTCTACTCCTGTGCTTTGTGTCCCAGGGGGTGCCCACTGCCTTGCTGATCATCTCACATTTAAACAATTCATACTGCTAGGTATTTCCCTTAGGATACTTTTAAAATTACCTCAAGTCTCAAGCCTAGAGTTCTGGGACTAAGCAAAGCAACTAATCCAGAGAACAGGCCTAGAGTCTTTGGTAGGGAGATGGGGACCATCCCTTCCCCCTTGGTGGGGGGGCAGAGAAGGAGAGGTGAAGGGTCACCAGATGCAGAGAAGCATTGTTGCATACAGGCAACCCCAATGAGCTCCAGCCTACAACTCCTTTGTGATCCCTTCCTGTGTACCTGCTCCCATGTCCCCTGCTCTCTCCCCTGGGGATAGAGGAGAGAGAGCCCTGCTCCTTAGCCAGGCTCAGCTTCCCAGGGTTTTACAAGTGGCTCCATGCAGCTGTACAAAGTCTCCGGGCCCTTCCTCTGTGTGCCAGAGCTTAGGGGATGAGGCCATTGCAGGGAGCAGAGGGTGGAAGAATAGAGAGGTCATGTCCAGGAAGTTCTGCATATGGTAGGGAAAGACAAGCCTATAGAGAGAGAAGCCTTAAAAGAGCAGGAGGTGTGGCTCAAATGGTAGAGCACTTGCCTGGCAGGCAAAAAGCACTGAGTAGGATAGAAAAGAAAAGAGAAAGAGAAGAGCAAAGGAGGGAGGGAGGGAAGATGGAAGAGAGGGAAGGAAGGAGGGAGAAAGAGAGAGAGAGAAAGAGAGAGGCCTAGATAAGTACTTCTGTCTGTTCATGGTAGTAGGTTCATATAGTGCCTTGCACATAGTAGGTATTCACCAAGGTGTTGCTGCTCTGAATTTGATTTCTATTGATCTGTGTTCTGATCCATTGGGACATGCTTAATCCCTTTGGATTAAGCACAGTTCCTTGCACAAGTCTGGGGAATGAAATTTGGATTTTACAGTTCCAACTGCCCAACCAGTATTGCCTAGATCCAGAAAGTCCCACCCCATTCTCATAGCCTGCCACCCTGGCCTCCCACCATCTCTAGATGGGCCACACAAGAATGCATGCATCAGTGGCAAGAGCAATGTGTGGATCCTCCAAATTGTCCCCTCCTGAGATCTGGCCTGGGTGAGCTTTCAGACTAGCAAATCACAGGACAGAGAAGCCAACACCTGGACATGCCCAAAGAAAGATTTGGAGAGAGGCTAGAGAATTTGAAGAGCTAGGATGAAGTGCCACAGGAAGGCTTCTGAAGTAGCCTAGGTTCCTGCAAATGAAGGGGAAAAGCTGCTCAAGGGAGAAGCACCTCTGTGGCTGGGACCAGGCACCCAGAGAGGGATCTGGGCAGGTTGGGCTATGTGAATACAGGGTTGGCATGGAAGAGGGAAGACCTTAAGTCCTATGCTTCCCTAACTTCTCCAGTAACTTTCCCTGACTTGGTCAGAACAGCCCATCACCTCTGTCTGTCCTGATTTGCTGTCCTATTTGAGGGCTTTCTTCTTGAATACTGGTGGGACAGTATCCCAGGGGGGCCATGCTGGCTCCTCAGATATGTCTGGCCATGCTGTGCTTTATTAAATGAGACACTTCTGATTGTCCATGACTTGGGTGCTGTCTTCTCTTTAAAAAAGCAAAGCGATAGGAAGGAAGTAGAGCTGTGGCTCAAGTGGTAGAGTGCTAGCATAGAGCAAAAGAAGGTCAAGGAAAAAGCCCAGGCCCTGAGTTCAAGCCCTAGAACCAGCAAAAAGAAAATCAGATGATATGGCACCAAACAGGCTCTGTATTTCCACACAGAAAATGCTGGAAGCCATATCCATATGACTATTTACCAGTCACCATCACTTAGAGCGATCACTTTCCACGGTTCTCATTTTTCATCATTCTGGCTGCTTGGCCTATGAGCTTGTGGTCCCTGCCTGACCCCAAGTTCTCTAGTACATCTTTCCATGGACCAACAGACATGTCATAAGCCTCATCTGATGAGCTCTGGAATACATCACTGCTTTTCAGCATAAGCCCATAATTCTTCTGGGTAGCTTCCAGCCAATGAGCAGAGCAGAGAAGGTTCACTGGGTACCCTTCCCCCTCCACTCCCCTCGCCCCCAGCTTTGCCAACACTGTCCTAGAACATCATTGCAGTATAAACATCTTTTTTCTTTTCTTTTTCTTTTTTGGAGGTACTGGGGTTTGGACATAGGGCCTCATGCTTTCTAGGCAGGAACTCTAACTACTAAACTTCTACCTTCCTCCAGCCTTCTAATTTTTTTTTTCTTGCTGGACTTGGGACTTGAACTCTGGCCTGGGCTTTGTGCCTGAGAGTTTATGCTCAAGGTTAGCATTCTATTACTGGAGCCACAGCCCACTTCCAGTCTTTTGTGGTTAATTGAAGATAAGAGTCTCATGGATTTCCCTGCCTGGGCTGGCTTTGAACCCTGAGTCTCTGATCTCAGACCTCCTAGTAACTAGGATTACAAGTGTGAGCCACTGGCACCTGGCTTCCTCCAGCCCTTTTTGTATTGGTTATTATTGTGATAGGATCTTGCTTCCTGCTCATACATGGGTGAGGTCTATGATCTGCCTGTTTTAGGCTTTCTGCAGTAACTAGGATGACTGGCCTGTGGTGCCATATCCAGCTTCTTTCATTGAGATTCAGTCTCAAGAACTTTTCTACCTGAAGCCAGCCTGAAATTGTGATCCTCCCAATCTCTCCTCTGTCATTCTACAAAGCTAGGATGACAGGTGCACATCACTACACATCCAATTGTGAATTGAAAACTCTTACAAATTTTGTACTGGGGCTGACCTTGAACCATGATCCTCCTATTTTCAGCCTTCTAAGTAGCTAAGATTACAGGTGTGAGCCGCCACGGCCTATCTCAATCTAGACATCCCTTACCTAACCCTCCCTCTTTTTCTTTTCTCCTTAACAGGGAGTAGATCTGAATATTAGTCTAATGGTTTTCCCAGTCTTCTTTAGATACCTCCCCATTTCCTTGTATGGCCTTCCTCCCAACAAATCCCTAGCAATGTAGTTTAAATCAAATTCATGTTTGTGGAGCATCTTGGAGGATCCAAACGAACTCCCTAGTGTTCAACCAGACACACTGAGATTCCAGTTATTAGGGCTCAATGTTCAAGCATGGCTAAGCTGAGCGGTAGTCTTGATCTTGTTGTGAAGAGAAGTACGTGTTAAAACAACTTCCCTGGAGTGTCTAGAACATAGACTCTCATTTAAAGAAAAAGTGGTTTATACTTTGAGCCTGTCATTTGAGTACAAGTAGCTAATGAATTTATTGATTTTACATTTTACTCTCCCTTAAACAAGTAGATCATTTTTATGAAAACAAAAGATGTTTTCCACCAAAAGCACTCCTAATTTAGGGCCTTTCTTTTCCACAAGGAACCCCACGTGGCCTATGAGTTTTGTCAGTGATGGGGTGTGAGGCCACTGTATTGGCTCTAAGGAGGCAGGTTTTCGGGTCATTCCTCCCTCCCCCAGCCCCCACAGACAGCCCTGGTTGTGAGCAATGACCCCAGTGCTGTCTGAGTGCTGTAATTCAGAAGAAGAAATCTTGCTGGGATCCCTAGGCTGAAAATTAAAAAAAAAAAAAAGGAATTCACCATCATCTTTCTTTCCAAAGAACGTCCAAATCTTCTCAGCCCGCTTTTCAGGGGTATTTTCATCATCTGGAAGGTGTTTCACATCCTCAGGGTTGATCATTTTGAAAATAGCCTGTACCAGAACAAGAGAGAGAATTTGTTCAAAGGAGAGGAAGGAGATGACATTTCTGGGTTAGCTCAGGCCCTTATGCCATACACAAAAATCCCTGTACACCTAGGATACAACGATATACAACCCCTAGCAGAAAACATAGGAGCAAAACTTCCTGGCATTGGTCTTGACAATGATTTTTATTTACTTGGCCGTGACCCCGGAAGTCAAGGTGACAAGTGGGGTTATATTATATATAGGAAGTTTTGATTTGCAAATAAAAAAGCAAAATGAAAAGGCAATGGACCTAATGGGAGGAAATATTTGCAAACTGTCTCTCTGAGAAGGGAATTAATATCCAAAATATATAAGCAACAGCAAACGAGCAAATGATCACATTTTTAAAAATGGACCAAGGACCTGGATAGTCATTTCTCCAAGGAAAACATCTTAAATGGCCCACAAATATATGCAAAGTTGCTTGACGTGATGAATCAAAACCACAATGAAGCTGGACATTAGTGGCTCACGGCTGTAATCCTGGCTACTCAGGAGGCTGAGATCTGAGGATTGTGGTCCAAAGCCAGCTTACGCAGTAAAGTCCATGAGACTATTATCGCCCATTAGCCATCATAAGTAGAGCTGTGGCTCAAATGATAGAGGATTAGTCTTGAACAGAAAATGCTGAGAGTACCCAGGCCTTGAGTTCAAGCCCCAGTACTAGCAATACAAAAACAAGCCAACTACTATAAGGTATCCCCTTACCAAAAACACTAAAATAATAGGTTGTTAGTAAAAAAAACCACATACACACACACACAAGAGATGGATGGGGTTGGGGGTAGAATTCAGGAGTATAACACTTGTTAGTATGTGCAAGGTCCCAGGCTTGATCCCTGGGAACACAGACACAAAGACAGACAGACAGACAGACAGACACACACACACACACACACACACACACACACACACACGCATGTGATAAGTGTGGGGGAGAGGGTATGGAACAAAAGGTGTCCCAGTTACACCGTTGGTGGAAATGCAAATCAGTATAACCACTAAAAACATATTGAGGATGTTTTTGACCACCCCCAACACAGATTCCCTCTTTAGTGTTCAAATACTCACTGGAAAAGCAGTCATCCTTTAAAGTAATGGTCTAAATACAAAGATCCAGGTCTACCTTTCCACTGAACCAAAACTCCTGGGCCGGGGCTGGGGCATCTGTGATCTTTGAAGTTCTTGTAAGGGATAGGGAATGTGAGGGAGGAGTGTAACGGGCTTCTTACTGAATACTTTTCTGTACCGGTGGGATTTTCTGATAATGTAGATGCTATCCAAAGAGGCTGATCTTGAACTGACATTCCTAAAACCTCAGGATTCCTCGTGCTGAGATTATAGGCATGCGCCACCATACCTGGCTATAATTCCTTTATTTAAAAAGAGGAGAAAGAAAAGAAAACCTGCCAGTGATGATAACCACAGCAGTCCTGAGGTTATAGTACCACAGACTCTACAGTTCCCAGGTTTTAGAGCACCCAATGGCTTCTTTAGGCCCAGGTAGTACTTAATCTTAGCTCCCCAGCAAGACTGAAAACTTAGTTCATAATGGCTAATATTTGTTCAGAACAATATTTTTCTAAGCATTTTTACACTGAGACATGGCCAGAGTTATCCAGTGGCAAGCAGATTCTAACCTAGGCAGGTTTTCCCCCTTAGAACCTATATTGTATGTTACAGAGGCATCTGCCTGGTTTGCTGCTAGAAAATACTGGGTGAGGCTAGAGAAGGGGAGAGAGAGATCCATGAGACTTTCTGAGATCTTCCAAGGGTACCGTACGCCCACATTTATCCAGCTGAGCTTTGGGCTTAGGACTCCTTCCTACCACTCTCTCCTCTCTCTAATCAAGAAACCAGGTGCATGGAGGGAAAAACCCACAGTGCCTCTAGAACTGAGACATCAAAGCAGGAGATGAGGTGGCCTTGATGTGCTCTTCCAGTTCCATGTGGTTGGAATTTAATTGGATCAGTAACACCAGGGCCAGCCAAGCCTAGGACCAAGGTCACAGTGCTGAGCAGGCTCAAGATGCAGGCTGGCCGCTGTGCTGGCATGGTTGTTGGGAGGCTACTTGTTTCTGTTCAGTGCCTCTGCCTCGCTGGAGATACCCGGGAACAGATCAGGTAGAACCAGTAATGCCTGGGAAATGAGCTTGGAGTCCTAGAAGATCAATAGCTTTGAGGAGAGCCCTCTCAGACCACTGATGGTAGGAGAGAAATGCTGACCAGGAAGTCAGTGCCAGTGGTTCAAGGCAGCAGCCTGGCTTGGCAGCACCCCCCCCCCGCCCCCAGAGTTGGCTCCCAAAGTTCCAGTCAGTCCTGCACTACAAGCCAAGCAGGATAAACAGGCATGATGTCTAATGTTGTGTGTGGCTGGCTGCCTGTCCCATCTTACTTCTAATGGGGGTGTGTGTATGTGGCAGGCAGATCTTGAAGATCCTGGGAAAGGCCACAGAAATCAACAAAGCTTCACCCTGAACCCAGGGAAAATATAAACTTTTTTTCCATAGCTACATTGTAATGTCAGAACTAAGACTAGAACTCATTATTTCTGACTTCCACACCAGGGCCCTGCTTCCTGACTTTGTGATCAGCAGGGACTTGTTGCTACCTGGCACAGTCTCAACCATTAGTCCCCATTCCTCCCTTCTTTCTTCCTTTCCTCTCATCCTCTCATTTCTTTCTCCTTCCCCTTCTTCCTGGCAGAGCACCAACTCCTATGCCTCTGCAGGGCCTGGCACCCATTTAGGTCTCATGCCCTACCACCCAGACAGCCCACCACCAATTGGGAGGAGCTTGTTCTGCAATCTGTACTGAGACTGAGAGGTTGATACTCATTTTCCCTTAGCAGGCACCCAAGCTGACCTCTCAGGATGACCTCCAGTTGCATGCTTGGCTATTTTATTTATGATTTCTCCTAATAAAGGGGGGGGAAGAATTCCACTAATAAAACCATGATTGCAAATTCACACAATAGTATATAAAATAGGAAGAAAAGTATTCATTTATAATAAGGATGGAATTTTAAGAATAAAACAAGTGGCATGTGGCTTAAAACCAGTAAGGAGATCTCAAAACCAGGAAACTGTACATGCTAGAATAGAAAAGTGAAACGCTTAATGTGTAAAAGTCTAGAAATGTTTTAATAACTTTATAACATTTCCATAGTATGATTGTTTTTTTTTGGCAGTACTTGTGTTTGAACTCAGGACGTTGTGCTTATTAGAGAAGCACTTCATCACTTGACCTATGCCTTCAGCTCTTTCTTAGTTATATTTTTCTAATAAGGTATCTATCCAGCCCATTTATGTCCAGGCCAGCCTGGACTCTGATTCTCCTATTTACACTTCCCTAGCCAGTAGAGCAGATGTGCACCACCACACCCAACTTTGATTAGTTGAGACAAGTTCCTGTGAACTTTTTACCCTGACTGCCTAGACAATCTTCTCACTCTGTCTCTAGAGTAGCTAGGATTACAGGCATGAGCCACCATGCTCAATCTCATAGGATAGAATTTTAAGTAGCTCTTAAAAATATTTTTAAACCAGTCATGGTGGCACGCACCTGCAATCTCAGCTACTTAGGACACTGAAGAGAAAGGATTAGAATTTGGGCCTAGCCTGGCTACATAGTGAGACGCCACTGCAAAACACAAAACAAAAATGTTCCTGGAAGAATGTGTAATGATATTTCATACTCATGATGAGAGAGTTACTAAGTAAAAAAAAAGGCTGGGAAAATGATGCAAATATGTAAACCCAGAGTTGTTTAAAAACTACATGGACACCAGACTGGATGTGGTAATTGTATTTTTCTGTGGATGTAGGAATTGAAGGTGATTTTATTTTTTCCCTGACTCTTTCTACATTGCATGGATCCCTTACATGTTAGACCAAAAACTATTTTAAAGATACATAAACTAAGCCAGACACTGGCAGCTCCTACCTATAATCCTAGCTACTCAAGAGGCTGAGGTCTGAGGATTGCAGTTCAAAGCCAGTCTGGGGTAGACAAATCCAAAAGACTATTATCTACAATTAACCACCAAAAAGCCGAATGTGGAGATGTGGCTCAAGTGGTAGAACACCAGCCTTGATTGGAAAAGCCAAGTGAGAGCTCCAGGACCTAAGTTCATTCAAGCCCCAGGACTAGGGCAAGAAAAAGATAACCTAAAATATTCAGAACAAATGATCTGACTTAGGAAGCCTCAGGTAAGGAGCGGAGAGGAGGCTGAGGACACAGGGTGGGCATGGTTCTAGAGCCTCATCTAGAGCCCCTGACCTGAAAAGCCCAGATGTAGGGTGCAGTGATGGTTGTGTTAGGGCCAGAATCTACATTCCTCTCCTCCCTCCACCAGCTGGGACCTCTTTCTGTTTCAGGTTTGAAACATGCTATGTGTTTCAATTGAATGTGGACTGCTGAAAGTTTTGAAGGATATATTAATGAAGAGAGGAAAGGAGAGAAGAGAAGAGAAGGGAAAGGAAAAGGAGGGGGAAGGGAGGGTGAAGCAAAGGAACAAAGAAAAGGAGGAAGGGAAAGGGAGGAGAGGGGAGAGGAGGGAAGGTAGAAGAAAGTGGGAAGGGAGGAGTGGAGTGAGGGAAGGAGGAAGAGAGGAAGGAAGAAGGAAGGAAGCAATGGTGCCAGTGGCTCACAACGGTAATCCTAGCTACTCAGTGGGACGAGATCTGAGGATCATGGTTCAAAATCAGCCTCAGCAGGAAACCCTATGAGACTCTTATCTCCAAGTAACCACCAGAAAGCTGAAAATGGAGGTGTGACTCAAGTGTTAGAGCCCAAGCTTTCAGAAAAACAAAGAAAGAAAGAAAAGCTCAGGAACAGTGTCTAGGCCTTCAGTTCAAGCTCTAGAACTGGTACCAAAAGAAAGGGTGGGGAGGGGTGGGGGAGGAGAAGAAGATGGAAAAAGGAGAGAAAGGAAAGGAAAGGAAGGAGAGATGGAATGTGAAGGGGAGAAGGAAAGAAGGAAGGGAAGAAAGAAACACAAAACCTTCTAGCCAGACTCAGGTTGTTCTTTAGGAAGCCTTAAAGTCTCAGGAAGGCCCCTCTGCTCCCTTGATCCTTACACAGCCCCTCCTCCCCACACAGGCCGGTGTCCCTCCCATCCACCCTCTCCACGGAAGGGTGTCCCACGCAGGGAGGGGGAGGTCGAGGCAAGAGTGGAGAGGGGCGCAGGGGGAGGGGTGCAGAGACCCACCATGACAATCTCCAGCACTTCGTTCTTGCTGATGGCTCCGTTGCCATCCACGTCGTACAGGGAGAAGGCCCACTCGAGCTTCTGCGTGGGCTTGCCCGCCGTGGTCATGTGCAGAGCGATGACATACTCCTTGAAGTCCAGCGTGCCATCGCTGTTGGCATCGAAGCTGCGGAACACGTGCTGGGCGTAGGCCTTGGGGTCGGCGTCGGGGAAGAACTTGGCATAGATGCTCTGGAACTCCTGGCGCGTGATGCGGCCGCTGGGGCACTCTTTCAGGAACGACTGGTACCAGGCGCTCAGCTCCTCCTCTGTGAACTTGGTGTTGAGCTGAAGCTCCTCCAGGATCTCCTTGGACAGGGCCCCGCTCTTGCTGTTCCCCATGGTGAAGGCCGGTGGGCAAATGCGGGCAGAGGCACCTGTGGGCTCCCTGGTCACTTGCAGCACTGAGCCGCCCTGGGATGGACAGTGGGGTCCCTTAGCAGATTATAGGGATTTGCAGCTGGTTCCTCCCCGTCCCTAGATGGGGAGGGGCCTCCTCCCAGAACCCTCAGGAGATTAAAAATAAAGAGCTGGGAGCTGCCCATCACTTCAAAGAAAGGCCTGTGCAAAGAAAGGCAGGAGAAAAGGGAGACCCAGGGTCTCCTCCCCAGGACTCCTGGCCAGCCTTCCAGGCGCAGTTATGATCTCTGGGTGTGCTCCACTGTGAGCAGGAATGGAGCCTCTTAATGCAGGGCTTAGGAGGCTAGGCTCCCAGACAGCTGGGTGCCAATTTCAGCTTTGCCAACTACCTAGCAGTGAGAATTTTCCCTTCCTTTCCCTTGCCTTCCCTTCCTTTCCTTTCCCCTCCCTTCCCCTCCCTTTTCCTCCCCTCCCCTTTCTTTCCCTTTTTCTTCCCCTTCTCCCTCCCTTTCCCCTTCCCCTTCTCCTTCCCTCAGCTCTCTTCCCTCCCCTCCCCTCCCCTTTTTTGCTTTTTGTACCCATAGTGAGGCTTGAACTCAAGGCCTGGGCACTTTTCTTTAGCTTTATAATGGCACCCTAGCCCAGCTCTGGTGACTCATGCCTGTAATCCTAGCTACTTAGAAGGCAGAGATCTGAGAGGATCCTGGTTCAAAGTCAGACCAAGCAGAAAAGTTCGTGAGACTCTTACCTCCAACTAACCACCAGAAAACTAGAAGTGGAACTGTGGCTCAAAGTGGTAGAGTGGTAGCCTGGAGCAGAAAAGCTCAGGCCCTGAGTTCCAGCCCTACGATTGACAGAAGAAAGAAAGGAAGAAAGGAAGGAAGGAAGGAAAGGAAGGAAGAAAGGAAGGAAGGAAGAATGGCACTGTACTGTCTGAGCCACAATTTTACTTCTGTTTTTTTTGCTGGTTAATTGGAGATAGGATTCTTACAGACTTTTCTGCTTGGGCTGGTTTTGAACCTCAATCCTCAGGTCTCAGCCTTTGAGTAGCTAGGATTACAGGCCTGAGACACAGGTGCCTGGCAAGGCAGGTTTCTTAACCTCTCTCTGCCCTTACACTTTCCTAATCCCTTACTTCAGTCCCATCTTGGCTGAAATGTCCCATTCTCAGCAGGGCCTGTGCTGACCGATGACTCTATGTACAACAGCACAACCCACTCCCCACTCAGCCTTGCTACCACCACATTCCAAACTGTGCTCCAAGAAGGAAGGGGTCATGTTCAGTTACTTCTCAGTTGCCCTCAGTCAATATTTGCTTAGTGAATGGGCAGGGTTCACTAAGTCAACTAGTGTAATACGCTTTGAATGGTTCAAACCTGCCAGGCACCAGTGGTTCACACCTGTAATTGTATTTACTTGGGAGGCTGAGATCTCAGGTAGTTTGAAGTCAGCCAGGGCAGAAAAGTCTGTGTGACCTTTAGCTCTGATTAACCAGCAAAAAGCCGGAAGTGAGGGTGTGGCTCAAATATTAGAGTGCCAGCCTTGAGAAGAAAAGCCAAGTGACAACACAAAACTCTGAGTTTAAGCCCCAGTAATGTGTACACACACACACACACACACACACACACACACACAATTAAATCTGGCATACAATGAATGGTAAACATCAGACTCTGACTTCATGATGGCTCATGAACAGCTTTTGAACCTGATGATAGAGTGGAAGGCAGCCCCTAAGACCATCTGTTTCTCATGGTCAATACTGTATTCAATAAATCACATGAACCATGCAGCACATTATCATAGTACAGGTTTGTGCCAGAGGTCTTTGCCCATCTGAACTGTATGCTGACGTGTGTTCTGAGCACGTTTTGGGTGGGTGATGTTATGTTAGGATGCTCTGAAAGTTAGCTGAACCGAGTGAAGCCTTTTCTTTGGTGGTACTGGGATTTAAACTCAGTGCCTCATACTTACTAGATGATCCACTCCCCTCAGTTCCTCTTTTTGCTTTCTGTATCTCTCAGATAAGGTTTTAAGCTTCTGGGGCTGGGAAGGTGGCTCAGTGGTAGAGCGCTTGCCTTGCATGCCAGAGGCACTGGGTTCGATTCCTCAGCACCACATAAGCAAAAAGAAAAAAGCCGGAAGTGGCACTGTGGCTCAAGTGGTAGAGTGCTAGCCT